CAAGCTGAAGAAAGGGAAGAACATTGATGTCAAACGAATATGCATTCTCATTCATCCTGATTTTTTGTGTGTGAAGTCTGCGTTTTTTAGTCTCAAAACTACGTTTTTTATGTATTGCGTTATGACGTTTTGTGGAAAATCTGTAAGTGATGGAGAAAAATGGGTATCACTTTCGGATTCAGCGTACAGGAATTACTGTAGAACATCTAAAAATTTCAAGACAATAAAACCATCGCAGGCCTGTATAATGAGTTGTAATACATCCATTAGGATATGATATTTTTCAATTGATATATTAAAAACATAGACCTAAACTATAAGACTCAATAAATTACAAGTCGTCGAAATGGTTTAAAAATAACTAAATATCGACTAGATCCAAGAATTTTGTTTCCTAGACTCATACATTTAACATCAAAGCACAGTCATGATCACGAAAATGATAAATTAAACGTAAATTTTATATATATTTACTTTTGTAGAGAAACTCAAAGGTATTAAATGGAATATTTATTATATATATAAATATATATATATATATATATTAATTTTATGTTATTATAACATTTTAATATAAAGTTGTTTTTTTTTACATCGTTGGCTAAGTATATGGATCTAGAACTGACGTAGATCTCCTAACCAAGCTGAACCTTGTGAGATGTTATTGTTGGGATTATGGCCGAAAATATCGCTAACTGGGAGGGTACACAAGTGATAAAACAGTGTATTCTAATCTTTATAAATAAGAACTCAAGAATAGCATATTCAATTAACTATATTCATTACTGATTTGGTTTTATTTCTGATCTATTGGTCAGAAGTTAATATTAATTGGAATAGGACAAATGTTTACTCATAGTTGACCAACAATTTTTCTCGAGTATTTGATGTGCAATTCGTTGTGGCACATCAGTCCACACGAAAAACAAAGTACAATTATCTCTGTATGGACCAGTTTTGATTTTTAGACAGTAAAGAGGAAAGGAAAAAGTCAATAAACTATTTTATGATTTACTAGATATACTGGAGTAATAATTGAGTCTTTAATGGATGTATTGATGTATGATAATGCCAGTGTTATGGATGTATTGATGTATGATAATGACAGTGTTTTGGATGCAGTGGTGTATGATAATGACAGTGTTTCTTTAAGGACAATGAGTTCCATATATATAGTGGACAGAATGTACGTTGACTAGTTAGAAAATCTCTGTTTAAAACGATGCTATTCTAGAACTACAGTAGATCTAATAATTAGACCAGAAGTTACATATCATCTACGCGAACTGTTTATATCCCACCTGATATGTAAAACCTGTTATAATAATTTGATTTACTATTTTGACACTGATGGCTAATTTTTCTTCTCTCTAAAGATTTCTAATTGGTTTGGTAACAAACGGATACGCTACAAAAAGAATATAACCAAAGCTCAAGAGGAGGCGAACATGTACGCAGCCAAGAAGGCAGGTAGGCAGTTTTACTCTGTTTTGTTTCCTCAGTCATGAAAGATACTCGGATTTCACTTTTTTTTTCAACTTCTAGATTTATTAAAACCAAAATACATATTCGTCATATGTGTGTTACTTGTTTACAAATTTATTTGTTATTACCCAAAAACGATCTGTACTGCAAACTAAGATAATATCATATTTCATTCACCCTTCTTTTTTTGATCATATTTTTTTTTTTTCTCATATGATTTCTTTGTTGACTTGTACGTATTACGAAGCTTTGCTTGTTATGTGTTTATAATTTTAATTATAGTTTTTACCTTTTAACGTCAGGGTTTTTTCCCCCCCTCAACAATCTGGTTCATAATGGTTCTGTATAAGCTTTTAAAGTATAATTAGTTTTCAGTTTTATTAAGTCAGCTGTTTTGTACTTTCTAAATTTTTTCTCCACTTTAACATTCGCCTGGTTCTCGATGACATTTTAACAATTAACCTTTTAACACCGACAACACAATAGTTGATCTTTGAGGTTATATATATATAGTTTACTTCACGTAAAAGACACATAAAACATTTTTATGTTGACTCGCAGAATTCCATTCCATGCAACCTAACAATGGCTGTTAGGGTTCACGTGTTTTGTGGCAGGTGATTCGAAACGAACAGGCTTTCCTGTATGGATAAAGTCTGTAATTAGAACTGTGTAATTTTTAGATTAAAAATGCACTTTGCCTATCGGCAAGAGTAGTAGAATATCAATGTTTTTTTAATGAGTAATGGATGGTGTCTAGCTAGAACTTAACATGGTTGTAAGAAAAGCTAGTACTGGTAAAAAACAAACCTTTTGTGATTTGTCTGTCTGTTGCTCTCTGTTGATGAAATTAATGATGTAATGTGTAATTTGACGTAATTTCAAATATAATTCTGTAAGTTGAAATTGTTAATTTTTCGTATTTTACAATTTAAAAACAAAGTACAATTTGTGGCGTAACCCTAGGTTATGATAGGTGTTGGCTTTAAGTTTTGATGAAATTACAAATTTTGAATATAAAATTCACACAGTCTGCACGTTTCTGTCACCAGAGTGCGTTTATTACTGAATCCGCGTCAAACAGTTTGTTAATCAGTTTTTCTCTTAGAAACACAAACATGCAATTATCCGATTGTTGGTGCGATGACTGAAGTTAGTACTATAGCTACTATATTGTTGGTGCGATGACTTATGTTAGTAGCATAGGTACTATATTGTTGGTGCGATGACTGAAGTTAGTAGCATAGGTACTCTATTGTTGGTGCGATGACTGATGTTAGTAGCATAGGTACTATATTGTTGGTGCGATGACTGATGTTAGTAGCATAGGTACTATATTGTTGGTGCGATGACTGATGTTAATAGCATAGGTACTATATTGTTGGTGCGATGACTGATGTTAGTAGCATAGGTACTATATTGTTGGTGCGATAACTGATGTTAGCATAGACACTATATTGTTGGTGCGATGACTCATGTTCCATCTTATTGGTGCCGATGACTGATGTTAACATAAGTATTATATTGTTGGTGCGATGACTGATGTTAGCATAAATATTATATTGTTGATGCCGATGACTTATGTTATTATAAGTACTATATTGTTGGAACCGATGACTTATGTTATCATAAGTACTATATTGTTTGTGCCGATGACCTATGTTATCATAAGGACTATATTGTTTATGCCGATGACTTATGTTATTATTAGTACTATATTGTTGGAACCGATGACCTATGTTATCATAAGTACTATATTGTTGGTGCCGATTCATAGTGAAGTGGCTTTATAAGTCGGTGACAAGGTGTCTTTTGTTTCAACAGGATTTTTCAAACTTTACGAAGCTTTTAAAACTTTCGACTAAACCTAAGACTATTAAAGTAAAGCTAATAGTTACTATTGAAGTATTTAATGAAATCAAGGTAAATCATATAGCTGTGTTTTATCAGGTAACACGACCTTTTCTTTATGTTGTGATTATAAACTGGATTCTTTTGTAAGCTCAAAGTTTTAAAAGGTTTTGCTACTATGTACATAATCTTATACAAACGTCATTTAACGCTTCTGTCGTGGTCTACTGTAAACATATCATACCCATGGATATTTGTTATTAAACTCATGTTGGATTACCTTGGAGTACAGAAGGATAAGATAAAACTAAACATATCATACCCATGGATATTTGTTATTAAACTCATGTTGGATTACCTTGGAGTACAGAAGGGTAAGATAAAACTAAACATATCATACCCATGGATATTTGTTATTAAACTCATGTTGGATTACCTTGGAATACAGAAGGGTAAGATAAAATTAAACATATCACACCCATGGATATTTGTTATTAAACTCATGTTGGGTTACCTTGGAGTACAGAAGGGTAAGATCAAAACTAAACATATCATACCCATGGATATTTGTTATTAAACTCATGTTGAATTACCTTGGAGTACAGAAGGGTAAGATAAAACTAAACATATACCCATGGATATTTGTCATTAAACTCATGTTGAATTACCTTGGAATACAGAAGGGTAAGATAAAAACTAAACATATCATACCCATGGATATTTGTTATTAAACTCATGTTGGATGTGGAAGATAAGAACTAAACATAACATACCCATAGATGTGGTATAATGTTTGTTATTAAACTCATGTTGGATCACCTTGGAATATAGAAGGGAAAGATAAAAACTAAACATAATATACCCATAGATGTGGTATAATGTTTGTTATTAAACTCATGTTGGGTTACCTTGGAATACAGAAAGGTAAGATAAAACCAGAATACGGTTCAAATTGAGATTACGTTCACCAGAAGACTAGAAATCAGTTGGTTTTTGTTGTTGTTCTTTTAGTGAGATTGAGGAACTATGGTTTCCAGTTCTTGTACTCACACACCCACCTCTACTTGTTTTAGCATAAATTACCATCATTTTACGGACCATGCTATCTGTAAAGTACAGTGATTTAAGCTAATATGATTAGATCCATGATGGTGTGGACAAGCTTGGTTTCTTCACCATTCAGACACCCTGTCATTACGTACCTCGTGCACAGAGCTTTCATGTCGTGAGTGTCTGGGGGCGGGAAGAATACCAACTGCCTGGATCCTTTATAGAAACGGGTGTAACATCTGCACGAGACCTAGCCACACACGAGCTGAGCGTAAACTCCAAGGTAACAAACAATGAACAGACGAAACTTTGAATCTATCTACATATATACTTTCATTAGAGATCTTAAAGAAGCGAGCTGTCAGTGTTTCATAGACCTTAGCTTAGTTAGTGGGAGGGAATTGTATTTTGGAAACATCTTCAGCTTGTTTAATTTGAAACGGGATACTCAGTGGCAGTTTGTTTTTGTTGTTGCAAGGAAACAGACGTATTGTAAGTTTATAATTGTTGTATTTTGAATGAAATATCTGGAAATGGACCATTTTATATTTTTTGTTACGAGTTTTACGTGTTTTTTTTAAGAGCTTGTGTACGTCTAAAAACTTGCAGTTGTACATTATAAACTTTTAATTAATAAAGTTATAAAATAGAAGTTGTTTATCAGGGTTACAAGCAAAGGGTAAACAATATATTACAAGAAAAGGGTAAACAATATATTACAAGCAAAGGGTAAACAACATATTACAAGAAAAGGGTAAACAATATATTACAAGCAAAGGGTGAACAATATATTACAAGAAAAGGGTAAACAATATATTACAAGCGAAGGGCGAACAATATATTACAAGAAAAGGGTAAACAATATATTACAAGCAAAGGGTAAACAATATATTACAAGCAAAGGGTGAACAATATATTAAAATGAAAAGGGTAAACAATATATTACAAGAAAAGGGTAAACAATATATTACAAGCAAAGAGTGAACAATATATTAAAATGAAAGGGGTAAACAATATATTACAAGAAAAGGGTAAACAATATATTACAAGCAAAGAGTGAACAATATATTAAAATGAAAGGGGTAAACAATATATTACAAGAAAAGGGTAAACAATATATTACAAGCAAAGAGT